GAAGCAGACAATGGGCTAATCACTTAATAGCCAAATAGCTCTTAGAAACTGGTAAGAAAGGGGCACCCGGGTGGCTCAGTCAGTAAGCCTCTGCCTTCAGCTCAGGTCCTGGGGTTCTGGGTCCTGGGATCGAGCCCCAGATCAGGCTCCCTGCTTGGTGGGAAGCCCGCTTCTCCCTCTCCCACTCCCCCTGCTTGTGTTCCCTCTCTCACTGTTTCCCTCTGTCAAATAAATAAATAAAATCTTTAAAAAAGAGAAAAAGAAACTGGTAAGAAAAAGAGAAACTAGAAAAAATGAGCAAAGGATATGAATAGAGTTCATAATAAAAAAGAAACACAAATTCCCAATAAACACATGAAAAGTTATTCTAATCTTACCTATAATTATCATGGAAAAAAAGTAAAACAAATTTTTCCCACCTCTCAGACTGACAAAAATGATAATAAGATGATAATACTCAGTACTTGCGAAGATGAGGGGATATGTTTTTGGTGGATGTAAACTGGTGCAACTCTGGGGAGGGCAGTTTAGGAGGACTTTTCAAAATGAAAAATAAATGTAACATTTCAATAACTCCACTTTTAGGACAACATCACAATCAATGTATATAAGAGCCATTATTTCAACATTGCTTTCAATAGACAAAAACATAAAAATATTCAGGGGGTGGTGAAATAAATGAAGATTCATTTATGCCTCAAGAATACAGCAGTTATACCGTCTGATAGAGAAAGGAATTCATAATCTACAGTTTAGCGAAAAAAGATTTGGGACGATATACATTCAATGATTACATCGATTACTTAAAAAGATGTCCAAGATGTATCGCTTAGTTCACAGCACACTGTGGAGCAGTACATACTGAACGGATCCCTTTAGGTTAAAGAAATGCACAGACACAAGAAAATTTCCCTCCCAAATCTCGAAGAACCTAGTTAGTAATGGATGCCTCTGAGGAAGGGAAAAGATGTACACGGAATTAAGAAGAAACTTTCACTCGTTACCATTTCATATCATTTGAACTTTTCCCTGTAATTATCTTCCAACTTAAAAAGAATAAAAATACAAACATGAAAATAAAAAAGGACTTTTAAGCATGAAGTAACGACGCAGGAAAGAAGTAAAGGGATGATGGATTAGCATGATTAGAATGGGTATAATTTCCACTTCCCTAACAGCTATGATGAGTTCAAATTTTTGCAAACATAATAAATGATATGCTAATAAACCTGAGGATAAAAACTGTTTACTCTTCATTTAGCAAAATAATAAACAGAGACAGTAGGAAATAAACATTTATCTTCCATCACTAGCAATTTAGCAACTCACAACTAGACTGAAGGCTTTGGTCAGCTTTGATTTTGTGTGAACCAATTTGTAGCATCCCTATCTGTTGCTATAGAAACAACTGTGACCAAAAAAAAAAAAAACACACAAACATAACCCTTATTATTGAATCTCCTCAAACAGGAAAAGAGGAAGGTCTTTCAAGGTGGTGAAAAGCTACATATAACCTTATTAATTAGCAAATGTAATAATAAAATTTCTGGACAGTGTGCAGAGAGAAAACATATCCTTGTCTAAGTGTCATACATTTGCAGGCTTTTCTTAGTTTTGAAAGTATCACAGGCGAGCACTGTTCTGCTTTTGAAAGCCCTATTCTGTTAAGAATTTTATTTACTGCTTTTAGATCATTCTTTCATTTGTAGAAAGAGAATAAAGAGGTTTCTATTTAAAGTTTTTAAAAGATATTTTTAAGCACCCTTCATCTGCCTAAGCAATCAACAGTGTCATTTCTATTTTGTTCTTATTAAGAACATGAGAATTTTAATGTAGATGTAGTACCTTTGGCAACAACAATTAGATTTTACTGTTCAGCCTGTAGGTGTTGTCTTCTGCTACAAAAATGTCCTCTGAAGAGGACATACTGGGTTGCATCACATGGGCCTGACGGTAAGAGGAGGAGATGCTTATCAATAGAATGATGGAATCGTGTCACGATATAGAACTAATGAATTGAAAAAGGAAAATCCAGCTTTAAACTTCTTTTGAGAGAAGGGCACCATTTCATGCTAACTGATGTAAGATGCTGAATGATGTAAATCAGTTATAGTGGTTCCTCTCAAGTAAGAGAAAACAGTAATAATGAGAATTGGAAGACTGATACAAAAAAACTAGGTGCTATTTTATGCCTTTGTTAAGAGTCCAAAGCATATAAGATTATTCAAGTCTATTTTCTCCCTTAAAAGCCAGCAGCAGCAAATAAAACTGGTCTCAAATTTAAGAATCAATTTTACTTAGCGTCAAATTTTTAAAAATAATCTGATATAGGAAAGACTTTAGGGTTTGAAGCCAACAGCTAAGAAAGAAATCTTGAGATGTCTTTGGTGTAAAAAGGTGGTTTTATTAAAGCATGGGGACAGGACCCGTGGGCAGAAAAAGCTGCACTGGGGTCTTGAGGAGCTGCCGATTATATACTTTCAAGTTGGGAGAGGGTTAGGGATGTTGTAAGCCTCCCAGGTATTTAGGAAGGAAGGTTTCCAGGATCCTGAGGGGGTTAACTATTGTTGGGAAAAGTAATTTATTATTGTTTAGTAAACCCTCAGTCATGAGACCCTTCAGATGTATATCAGTGGGTCATATGCTTGGAAGATGATTGCCAACATGTATGGGGGGGGCGGGAGTGTGAGGGTAAAGGTAAAGGAAGTTTCTAAAGGAATCTCTTTATGTTAAAGTAGACTTACAGGGTCCTGGAGGTTGGGCTAAGATTACCTTTTGCCCTTGGCAAAGTATTAACATTTAGGCAGCTGAGTCCTTAGAGGAATGTCACTCTGCCGTTTCAAGGACTTGTCAATAGGCTATAAGTAATAAGGAAATTTGATGACTTTTCTTCTGCCTTTGTTTCCCATGTCATAATCTACAGATTTTCAGTCTGTGGGCTACAATACAATTAAGGAACAGTGAAATTTTAATTTTATGTACTTTTCTGAGTTGCTAGAAAATCAGGTAAATCCAATACCTAACTGGGTTCGGAAAAGGGTTGGGAACAGATGGTCAATAAATAATTCCAGCCACTCTCATTGGAACAGTGGCAGGCCAAGCGGAAGACCAAATAAGCCTCTTTTACAAGAAAGGGAGAGAGGGAAGTTAATATGGAGCATCTACTCTTCAGTCATCTCTTCATTAACAAATATTTGGCAAATAAAGATTCAGTAACGAGTAAGACTAAAATGGTTTCTACTCTCAAGGAACTTGCCTTAGAAGGAGAAACACACATAAAACAGAAAAACAAATGAGCGAATGAGATAATTGCAAATAATCTTGAGTTGAACAGATTGCCAGTCAAGATGGCTCTGTAAGTTCACACTTTGGGGATACCAACCTTTCCCAAACACACAGCAATGAATGAAAATACGAATGTTAAAATTAAAGACACAGGTCATGCTCAGAAACAAGACGGACATCTTCATGGATAAGAGCACGAACAGAAACATGATGGTATTCAGAACATGCGAGGAACTCTCAAAACTCAATGGTGACAAACAAACAGTTCAGTTAGAAAATGGGCAAAAGATCTGAACATACATTTCACCAAAGAGAAGTTATGATGGTACAAAGGAGCACATGAAAAAAATGCTCGACATCATTAGCTATTTGGGAAACACAAATTAAAACCACAATGAGGTATCATCACAGACCTATTCGAATATCTAAAATAAAAACGATAATGGCAAAAGTTGGTGAGGATGCAGGAAAACTGGAGCTCTCATACACTGCTTGTGGGAATGCAAAATGTTATAGCTGCTCTAGAAAACAGTTGGACCTTTTTTTTTTTTTTTACCAAATTTAGTATGCACTTACCACACCCCTCAGCAATCACATCCTTAGACATTTATCCTAGAGATATGAAAACGTCACAGCCTGAATGGATCTCAAGAGTATTACATTGAGTGGCAGAAAAAAAAACTATCTCAAAAGGTTGTATATTGTCTGGGTCCATTTACATAACATTCTAGAAATAAAATTATAGAGATGGAGAAGAGATTAGGGCTATCAGGGGATGAGGTGGTTAAGGGGTGGGGAGGAGACGGGGTGGGTAGCAGGACTGACCGCTTTTGTGTGGACATAACACTTCTGGATCTTGATTCTGGTGCTGGTTACATGAATCTATACTTGGAATAAAATTGCTTAGGAAACTGCCTCCCCCCAACACACATACATAAACACAGGTTAAAAAACTGAATACTGAATTGAAAATTTGGAAACTGAGTAAAGCCTGCAGTCAGTCAGCAGTAACATAGCGACGGCCATCTCTGTTTCAATACTGTGACTTGTACTACAGTCACAGACGATGCCAGCGGTGGGGAGGGGGGGATGCTGGGTACTGGGTACTTGGGACTCCGTACCTATAGCTGCAGCTGTCTCCAAGTCTATAATTTTATTTCACAATAAAAAGTTTTTTTTAGATGAGGAGAGAAAGATGAACTGTTCAACAACCAAAATATTATTTATCTACAGGGGTGCAAAGACAATAAAACCTGTCTTACGCTATATAATAAAATTCTAGAGGGCACAAGGAGTCCATTTAGAAGAAAAAGTCAGAGATCTTTATTATATTGGCATAAAAAGAATTTCTCAAATAAGATGTTTTTAAAAGATCAGCTATAAAGGGAAACTTCGATAATCTAAACTTATTCTTATTTAAAACTGTGTATAGCCAAAAAAAAAAAAAAAAAGCCAAAAAAAATGAAGTTCAAAGACAAGCACCATTTCTCTCAGAACACATGAAGCTGCAGCTAGAAAGGACAAGGAGACAAATTCTCCCCTTGGGGCCTCCAGAGAGGAATGCAGCCTGCAGACGCCTGGATGTGGGCCCAGTGAGACCTGTGTCAGACTTCTAACCTACATAACTGTAAAATAACACATTTGTGCTGATTTAAGGCACTGGGTTGGTGGTAATTTGTTAGAGCAGCAACAGGAAATGACTGCAAGTGACTTACCTCTATGGATTTCCAAGCATTAGTCTTGACCGGTTGTGTTCCCTGGGACAACGCGGTTCCACTAGGCAACTGAGTGTCTTGGCACTGCTCTTGTTTCACTCCTGCCTTGGAAGTGTTTTCTGTCAACAACATAAAGCTAAGATTTCACTTTGGCAAAAGATAGTAACATTTTTACGTTAGCTCCCAATTTTTAAGCTAATTACTTCTGAAGATCCATTTTGTCTGTAGCAGGTACCTCATGGGCCAACGGTCATTTCAGTTTATCCCTTCATAATAATTGACAAATTCAGGCCGATTTAAAAATATAACTTTGATTCTAGCCTTTTTACCCATCAACAATTTTATTGTATGCTTTATTATTTGAAACATATTTTTTAAATAAGGCACAATACAGTATAGAAAATTATTGTCTGAAAATTATCCTTAGCAAAAGCAGGAATGACAACTAGAATTGTCCTAATTAATATTTAAAAGAACTTTATTACTGCAGTGTGAATTTCAAGTGTTCATATATATGAGGTGTAGGTTGTATGATGAGAAAGCACTTTTAAACAAAATTTAAAAAATTTTTAAACGTGCTATGCCAGTGAAATAGGAGATTTCTGCTTGTATGTTTTTACTGAATTTAATGGTTTTGTAGTTGCCATTTTCCTTTCTACCTTTTCTTTTCCTGGGTTGGGAGGAGCAAAGGTGTAGGGAGAGAGAGAATCCCAAGTGGGCTCTGCACCCAACATGGAGCCTGTCACAGATTCTCAGGACCCTGAGATCATGACCTGAGCCAAGACCAAGTCAGATGCTTACCCGACTGAGCCACCCACGCACCCCTCCTTTCTTTCTTTCTTTTTATTTATTTATTTGACAGAAATCACAAGTAGGCAGAGAGGCAAACAGAGAGAGAAGGAGGAAGCAGGTTCCCCGCAGAGCAGAGAGCCCAATGTGGGGCTCGATCCCAGGACCCTGGGATCATGACCCAAGCTGAAAGCAGAGGCTTTAACCCACTGAGCCACCCAGGTGCCCCTCCCTCCTTTCTTTCTATCTGAATTACTGCGTAAACGAAGTATTACCGCCAACTCTCTCTCAGCATGTTATTGGGCACAATAAGAAGTGTAAGGAAGCGATCTTCAAACCGGTATTTGCACACCACTGGGGTACTTAAAGACTTCCCAAAGGCCAGGTGGGCATAGATAGTTTTAAAGGACTCAATGTCCAGATCTACCACTTTTATATATACTCTTTCCAAAAACTGATCTGCCTAAGAATGGGACTGTGTGGAAACATCAGGCCAGTTCTTCCCTCTTCCCCTTTCATAGTCCGTTTCCTTTCACTTTACACAGACAGACCCATCCTCTTCCCATCTTATTACGATGCATCTTCCTTTATGCTGCCGCCCTTAGAACCTCGAAACACCAAACAACAGTAGAAAAGACTGGTGTAGGGAAGCCTCCTTCAATCAAGGCAGGAAAACCCCGAAGTAAAGCTCCAAAATTTGTCCTATTTTACACCTATTTCTCTTAATGGCAAAGCAGGACATAAATAGCACAGTATTTTGGTCCATACTGGGGTGTTTGGTATTCAGATCTACTATAGTATGGAAGAGCAGGACAGTTGACAAATTTCATTTAATGTCCTGTGCTTTTCATCCCTCAGCTGTTGTCCAAAAATGCATCATTTCTGAGGAGGACAGAAGAAAAGCACAAGCATGGGAGACGGGGCACCTTCTTTCATCAACGCGACAGACTTACAACAAGGCTCCACACCTTAGCCATCTCCCCTAGGAGAAGAATTCAAGAACTTGAGTGTAATCACAGTGATGTTTATTTGAATGAAGTAAGAGGTTTTCTGAAAGAAAGTTGAAATCTGATCTGGCAGACCATTTTGACAATAAGGGCCGGCTTTGCCAACTAGGTAAGTATGGTCAATATTTTCCAAAAGTGGAATGAACGAGATCTGTAGTTCTGAAGAACTGCTGAGACATATTTAAGTCATATGAAATAATAATTATCTCAAAAATTGTTATACTGACCCGTGTTCCACAATGAATGTTTTTCTTTTTCACACTTTGTGAGTATATTGTGTTAAAGTGTAACTGGCAATAATTAATAATCTGATAAATTTTAGTCAAGGTTTTTTTGATATTATTCCCCGAAACTGAGAAAGTCCATTACTCCTAATGACTGTTTAACAAATCTTTTTCTATGAGGGTTGTCTCCGTTTCTTTGCTTTCAACAACACTGAAGACAGACCTAATCAAGTCAACAGCTGACAAGAGATGAAAACCATTTTTATAATAAATTACTATATAATTCTGGAATATTACTTAAAAGGAATTCATTGAACTGACTGGCATTGCTATAATAAAACACCTTCTATTTCCACCTACAATTTTATGTGAAAAAGTCTTCTTAGCATTTCCATCCATAAAAATGTAAAAGAGAAACAGAATTTATGCTGAATCCTGCTTACTTCCAGCAGTAAGTAATATTCATAGGTGGGTAAATAAGCAGTTCCATGTATCTCACAGAAACATGCATTTCCAATAAAATGGTATTCTTTTTGAGTATTTATAAAAATTATAATATACTTACGTGATTTTGGTTTTGATCAATTGTGTGCTAAAAGTAATTGTAATGATAAATCAATCTAGAAAGAATATTTTACCACTTAAAAGCCTCTGGACCTAGAAAATGTAATTTCAATTTATACACATGTTTGATGCAAAGAAGACTTCCAGGCATCGAAATACTTTCTATTAGGATGAAATCCTGCGAGGGATATGGAGGAGAAATATGAATTCAAGGAGGAAAGGAAATTACATGATGTAAAGCTTCCAACAGTTAAAGACTGTGTTTTTTCAAATGAATGGCTGCAGGTAGCAGTTATACAGTGTTTAGGTTCCTTTAGATACTATGCTTAAAAGTCTCATAGAATCGTTTCATTTTTTTTTTTTTTTAAGATTTTATTTATTTATTTATTTGACAGAGAGAGATCACAAGTAGATGGAGAGGCAGGCAGAGAGAGACGGAGAAGGAAGCAGGCTCCCCACTGAGCAGAGAGCCCGATGCGGGACTTGATCCCAAGACCCTGAGATCACGACCTGAGCCGAAGGCAGCGGCTTAACCCACTGAGCCACCCAGGCGCCCCTCATTTTGTTTTCTTTTGTCCTTAATGTCAATATTTTGAATTATGTCCTTTGCAGTGACTTATGATACAATTTCACATGGCAACCTAAAAAAAAATGCAGGAGGTATTTAATTTTTCAAAATCACTTTAGGGGCTATGCAAGAAAAATAGCTTGAAAACCAACAGTCTAAGACACAGTGGTCCTCGCCTTCAGAAAGTTTATAGCCGGACTCGGGAGATAAGACTGACACACAGACTTAATGGGAAATAATTAGAGGAAAATAAGACTGTGCCGAACGTTCTTAAATTAACTAACTTTGGGAATAAGCATTCTAAGGAGGAAAAAAGAAACCCAGTGTGCACTAACCAGAAAGTGCCTCATATAGGAAGTAGAATTTGAACAAGGCTTTGAAGGATGACTAGGATCCTGATCAGTGTAGAATGAGAAATTATCCCAAGCAGAAGGAGCTACGTGGGCAAAAGGAGTATGATATATGCCAAAGACACTGAAGAAAGAATAAGAAATTTGCTTATGGCTCTAACTTTTCATCTTCTGCTAATGTCACATGAAAATGAATAATTAAAATGAGCTTTCTGGGGGCCCAGAGATTTTATAATGAATACTGGCAAACAGTAGTGGTTTGAGGCTTAGATCATCTCTGTACTTTCATGTGATTCATCAGGAACTACCTTTATGATCACTCTTTGAATATTCAGCAACAAAATTATCCTTCAAGTGATATGGACTTAGGTTTAGACATCACAAAGGTAGATTAATAACAATTGCAGGAAGTTAACTTTGAATTAAAGTGTGAAGAAAACTGAAGGACAGCAAGAACTGTGAAAGAAAAAAAATCTTGAATATTTAGAGGTACATTTTAGGCTAAACAGCTAAAATATTCTAAACCTATATTAAATAATCTTCTAGGGACAAGAAAGAAGGCAGTTAGAACATAGTGAGTCTATGGAAATTCATTGAGACTTTTTTTTTTTAGTACCAGCACAGCACTGGAAGTGAGGTGTGCTTAATTAAATTAGGTGATTACACCAGATTTATTTCTGGATTTTCACAAGCAAGTGGAAGGCGAGAGCACAAGTTTAGTTTCTTAGTGGAAATGAAGGCCCTTTGGTATCATAAGCTATTTACCAGTTGAGACAGTGAAGTCACAAGCCAGGGGGACTCATGTGCAAATATGAAACCCCAGAGGGAAAAGTGAAGGTGCTGAGGCAGTGATGCTATCGGGTCATTCGAAGATGAGAGGTTAGATACCAAAGCTGGAGGTGCCAGGAGGAAACCGTTGAGAGAGAGCCTGTAGATTTCAGTGAGCCTGTGCGACTCAGATAATACCGCAGAGCAGAACTGGCAGGCCCTGAGATATTTCTTAGATGAGATAGCAAACTGACATTCAAACCATCAGACATTAACAAGGCAAGAGCACACTTTGGAACCAAAATATGGCACAAATTAAGTAAATTCCCAAATCCCTCCACTTATTACTTAATCTAATAAATAGTGTTGCTATGCATTGACAGCATCCTTTCAGGTGTAAGATAAGTCATTTACTTAACAAAATCAGCTTTAAAAAGAAAACGCATCTACCAAAGAAAATACTCCGTGGGCTGATGAACTGATAAGATGGGGAAGACTCGTAGTGATTATCTTTATAACTAACTTTTGCAGATTCATGAGTTTGGAACTTTAACAACTTCGCTGTCTTGGAGCATAATTGCACTTAAGCATCTTCAAGTAATTGATGTTTGTTCTAATTTTTTAAACTTCCATTTCGTAATGATTTCAAACTTAGGGAAATATTGCTGCTAGAAGACTACACATAACTCCCAAATACTCTTCATCTAGGTTTACCAATTGTTAACGTTTTGCTCCATTTGCTTTATAATTCTCTTTCCTCGTGGACACACACATATTATGATACTCCCATGTTTTAAACCTCGAGGAAAAGCCATTGTCATAGGTTGGGTTCCCCAGGAAGCAGATCCC